GCTGTTTCAACATCAAAGGAGAGCAGATAGAAAGAAAATTCATAGAAAGCTCTTGCTCACATCATGTAAAGGAATTTAGAGCTGACCTTGGGGAAGGTATAAGAAAGCCATCAAGTGGAGTGGGGGGGAGAAGTAAGCTATTAAGGAGGGGCTTGGAAAAGAGACTGCACAGCCCAGAGTTGGAAGGAAGTATGAGAAAGAAATTCAAAATTACTGCACCTTGATTTTGTTTGGTACAAGATGGGACTGAGAGAAATTTGTACAGGCTTTCAAGATTTCTTAATCTACCCTAGGACAAAAAAGTAACATTCCTGGAATTCCTGTGGTGTCTGTTTCTTGACCTGATCTACCTTGAAGAAGTGACACATTAAGAATGTCTAGACAGGAATAAGCCATTAAGGGGAAATAGATGATTTTTCGAACTGTACAAGGTCTGAATCTCATTTGAGTTTCTGAATTTCATTAAGAGTAAGAAGCATTGTGGATTGTGCACAGAAACAATCATCACCACCAATTCCATCTCTTTCAGTACACCATAATACAAGATGCAGGATTCCCACTAATCTGTTAACAAGCAGCTTACTTGGTTGTTGGTTGTGCTTTCCAAGAAATTAAAGCAACGTGCAGACTAGAATTGCATTCTAGCCAACATTTTTTACCTTTCCTTTTCAAGACAAGTATAAGACATGCTCAGGAACCCTTCTATTTAATTGTATTTATATTTGGTGAAACTTTGAAAAAACTGTTGCTGCCTAAGAATTCCTTCAAAAGTTGCCACAAATTTTTAATTTTTAATGAGATAGAAAGGGAAAATTACACAAGTTTATTTACTTACTGTACTTTGATTTTTTTTTAATAAATGTGATTTTTTAAAAAATAAATGTGACAGTCTAGTACATTACATCCCCACCTGGTGCAGAATACTATCCAAAGACCAAGTGCAGCCATCAGCCTGAAAACCAGTACATATCTCTGTTGTCCAGCTGATTGGACTGTAGGCTATTCTAAGGCGGATTGAGTTAATTGTAGACTCTAGAAGAGTCTAGAAGAGTCATGTGGGATGCAATGTGGTCACTATCACCAGATAAATACATCAAGTGAATCCCCAAATGAAGTCTGATATATCTGAAGACTAATACAGTAACTGACATTGTTTAGATTGAATGCTCAGAATATAAAATTTAGTTTCAATTATGTCAATTAGTAAGGGAATATAGAAAAAGCATACAGTATAATCCCATGCAGGTTTATCTAGAACTAAGTTTCACTGCCTTCTCTTGTACTTTCACTTGAAGGTGATAGTATCTTATCTAAGGATCACTACATAAAATAGTATCTCAACTCACCAAAATATTAGACAAACTGTAATCAATGTTTCATGGAAATGGTTCCTTGTTCCCAAATATTGTCTGTAATTCCACCTTCCTTGGCTTTTCAGCCAACCTTTGATCTCTCCTGATATAAATGAGCATATATCATGTTAGGCTTTGGTATTATTTTAAGAAGTTTTTTCTTTTTTTTAATTGAAGCACTATGCCATCAAATTAAATATTTTCAACTGTCATTGTTCTCAATGAAAAAGATGTAAGCATGCCTTAAGTTAATCAAAAGTGATTGGTATTTCTTAGAATGAGTCCTTGCTTCAGGTAAATTGACAAAGATGAGTTGGAATCACTATTGCAAAGAAATCATGGATTTTTTTTTTTTTTTTTTGTATTGATGAAGAAGCCATGGAAGACCCAATATTACTTAAGCAAGATAATATGTTTTCTGCGTTTAGATAAGTGCTCCACTTAATTTCCAGGAAACATTTTCAAATCTGCATGCTCAGCTTTTCTTATTTATTAAAGTGGTGATAGTATGAAAGCTGTTTCTTCGTTTGCATTGGCTCAGCATCTGCTGGATGAATAGGAGTCTTTCTTCATTCTCCCACAGCAAGCTATACGCTTCTGATTTTCAAATATGGTCTTCACACATAGCAGAATGAAGTGGTGAAATCATGGATAATAGAATGGACAACACTATCAGATTGAAAGTGCAAATTGTTACATTGTTTTCCATGCATCCTTATGTAACAAAAGGAAAGAACATTTATTCCACTAAATGGACTTCAAGCAAGAATAGAAAGTTAGGTAGGGCTACTACTTTCTCTGTAAGAACCTCCTTTGCATAGGAAAGCCTTTACAAATGTCATCCTCCTAACTATAATAAATATAGTTATATTTATATTTATAATTTATATTATAATATAATATAAATATAATATATATATAGTATTATAATTATAAAAATATAGATAAGTCTACAAATCTAGACTTATCATATGGTAGAAAAGCAAGACTAAACAAAACTTAGTTTTCAGCCGGAAAGGTAACTTCAGGATTTGTTCTCCCACCTCAGAGAGGCTTGGTAGCAACTGTTACCCTGCCAAGAGTCAAGGAGAATTAACTTACCAGGTACAGTTGTAATGATTTCCATATCAAGTAGCTATAGTCTTTTATGTAAGGTCAGGCTATGCATATTGTTTGAAAGGGTTGCTTCAGAACATATGGGAACATATAGGGGGACCTCTTCTAAACTGTTAAGTAGTAGTGTCTTTTTCCAGGTTTGCATAGCTGCTGCTTCTAGCTGCTTCCATGCATATGCCACCACAAGTACTTCATTTGCCACCCATCCCCAATAAGCAAAATATCTGTTTATGCATACACATGCAGCCTGGAGCAACTTTTGAAGCAGCTGCACAAATCTGGAAAAGGATATGGCTGCTTTAATTATTTTTAAAAAGGTACTTTATATGTGCTCCTGCATGTTTCAAAGTATCTCTTTTGAATGATTTGCACAGCCCTAATATGAGGTCTCTCAATTTTGCTTTCAATAGAAATATACAGGTAGTCCTTGATTTACGACCACAATAGGGACTGCAGGTGTTATATAAGTGAAAGTAAACAGACAGTTCATGCCCTCTGGTGCCTTTCACACTGTAATTGCAGGCACACATCAGGAAAAAATACACAGAGGGCTCAAATTACTATCTTCTTCTGCTTTGAAAATCCAGTCAATCAGTGTGATGGAATGGAATTATGAAGGCCAGGCTCAGAGAGATAAACATTTTCTTAGATTGATGTCAGGCCTAGCCCAAGGAACTCCAAGAGACAATGCAAATTCAGTCCAGTTATGTTTATTACCTACAACCCCAAGCAAAAATTTTCCCAGACTAAAACCCCATCCCCCAAAGCCAGCCAGCCACAACAGTGTGAATTCCTCAG